AATTAAAAATATAAATAAATTTTTTAAAATAAAATAAAAATTCATTTATTCAACTAATAATGATTTAATACCAACCTTATGCCAAATACTTTTGGAGGGCAATGCTATACAGTATCAAGAAAAGAGAAACAAGTTTTATGGAGCTTAAAATCTAATTGCAGGTAGGAGGGAGCTGGCAATCAACAAACAAGTAAATACAAGAGAACAATAAGGATTATGCAGAGAATTAAAGCAGAATGGCATGTTAGGGAGTGACTAGCTGACTACTGTAGATTAGGTAGTAAGAAAAGGTATGGCAGGCCTGTAGATTGTCCCCTGCATCCATTTTCTCCCTCTTTCCTTCTAGTAACAGAATCCCCCAAGTTTTCACCAGGCAACTTGCTACCCAGGTAGCAACCATATTTCCCAGCCTCCCTTGCAGCTAGGTGTGAACATGTGACTAAGTGAGCAAGACTGATGTTACAATTTCCAGATCTTGTTTTCATAAGGAAATTGTTTTTTCTGCACTTTCTATTTTTCCCCCTTTTCCAGGCTGAAATGTAGACAGGTATGGACCAGCTTCAATTATGTGAACAAAGATTGAACCTTCTGAACAATCTAGAACAGGCTAGAAGGAACCTGGGTCCCTGAATGATTTCATGGAGCAGAGCTGCCCACTCACCTTTTACCAACTGCCTACCTCTGGACTATTATGTCAGAGAAATAAACTTTAATATTTTTGAGTTACTATATTTCAGGACCTCTTCATTATAGTACTGAGCCTATGCCCTGCTACTACAGGTGACCTCTCAGAAGAGGCAACATTTAAGCTAAGACCTAAGTGACAAAAATGAACACACCATACAAAGAAGAGGAGAAAGAGCATTTCAGACAAATGTAAAGGACCTAAAAGGAGAAAGGTCGGTATGGCTGGGGCACAGGGAGTGAATGGCAGAGATAATCTTGGAGAATTAGCCTGGGACCAGATCACATAGGGGTTTCAAGGCTAAGGTAGGGAATTTTTAATTTAAATGTTATGGAAAACCATTCGAGAATTTTAAAATATTCATATAAGAGAAGTGTCATAGGGCTTCCCTATGGTGGCGCAGTGGTTGAGAGTCCTCCTGCCAATGCAGGGGACGTGGGTTAGTGCCCCGGTACGGGAAGATCCCACATGCCGCAGAGTGGCTAGGCCCGTGAGCCATGGCCGCTGAGCCTGCGTGTCCGGAGCCTGTGCTCTGCAACGGGAGAGGCCACAACAGTGAGAGGCCTGCGTACCGCAAAAAAAAAAAAAAAAAAGAGAAGTGTCATAAGTGGATTTTTAAAAAATCTCTCTGGCTGCTCAGTGGTAAGTCATCTGAGGGGGCAAAGTGAAGGCACAGAGATTTTTTTTTAAACCTTTATTTATTTATTTGGCTGTGTTGGGTCTTAGTTGTGGCACGTGGGATCTTTCATTGCGTTGCACGGGCTTCTCTCTAGTTGCAGCGCGTGGGCTCCAGAGCGCACAGGTGTGGTTGCCCTGCAGCACGTGGGAGGGATGTTAGTTCCCCAACCAGGGATTGAACCCTTGTCCTCTGCATTAGAAGGCGGATTCTTAACCACTGGACCGCCAGGGAAGTTCCAGAGAAATTGTTTAGAAAGCTACTGCAGTAGTCCAGGGGAACAAATTTTAGTGCTCTAAACTAAGGTAGCAATGAAGATAAGGATAAATCCTTGAAATGTTTTAGAAGTATCATCAAGAAAGCTAATGATAGATTGGATTGGTAGGAGGAGTGCAGGAAAGAGGGGAATG